TTTTTAATCACTGGAAGTGTGAAAATTTTCACTGCAGATGGCGTTGAATCGGTTTGCAGATCACGAGTGTCGACCACACACAGCTTTCTGTGACTCATTGGTTTCACAAGATGGATTGCGCCGCTCTAAATTCTGTAAATGTTCTCCACTCTCTTAAAAAATAAATGCTTTAGTGGGTAACTTTCTCCAGGCAGTCTGGTGTTATGTTTTTCTGCCCATCGCCCCTTAAATCTAATCAAAATCGAAGTGAATCGAGAGCCTGGAAGTCAGAACTGAATCAAATCAGTGAGATATACAGCCCTGCTTAGTAATTTGACTTGTATTAAATAATCGTTAGTGTGAACAACGCCTTTCGTCACGTGAAGAGATTAGCCAATCATAATCCAGATCATCTACGTGAAGAAGTCTAAAAGGTACAGTAGCAAAAACAGTTTGATTTAATTTTGAGGATCATAAAGAAGCAGTAAATGATCATGAAAAACTCATTACGAGTGTTTGTGGTGCAAGAAACATTGAGTAACATTATAAGCAGACTACAGGAAGAAATAAAATGCTAAAATCAAGTCAGTTCTCCAGCTGCGAATGATTCGCCACAGATCGCGGCTTGATTAAAGGGATAGTTCACCCAAAAATTAAAATTTGATGTTTATCTGCTTACCCCCAGGGCTACCTACCTACTACTACCGCCACCTATCTCTCAAATGGACCATTGACACTCTATTTACAATCTCAAGTAGGAGTGTCAATGGTCTATTTGAGAGATAGGTGGCGGTAATGCACTTATAAGTCTGCGATCCGCCATAAAGCAAGAAGAAGAAGAAGACGCATCATGCGCCGGCTGTTGAGACAGTTCGGACATTGCGGTGAATCAGAGGTAAAAAAAACGATATAAATACTGTTCAGTTTCTTGCACAGACCAATCGTTTTGTGTCTTTACACATCAATGTATCGTCACGAGCCGAATGGTTTAATTTGTTTTTGTTTGTGTATGTTTTTTTGACTCTCAAAGCCGTGACTCCTATTCACTTCCATTATAAGACTGACAGACTGCAACGGTTTGAGTTAAAAATCATCATATGTGTTCTACTGAAGAAACAAAGTCACCTACATCTTGGATGCCCTGGCGTAACCAGATAAACATCACATTTTCATTTTTGGGTGAACTATCCCTTTAACTCTCTCTGGATCCGTTCAGGTACATCAGAAATGGCTGGAAATCAGTGTCACACCCAGCCACTTATGATAAACATCAAATTTTCATTTTTGGGTGAACTATCCCTTTAACAAGCAGCTGTGTATATTTTCCTCAAGTTCAGAAGAGAGTTCAGCTGGGAGTTTCATTTGAAACAGAGTCCTTGTATTACCGGAGAAAGGAGAGCTTGATAGCCCTGCTCAGATTCTGGTGTTTAATTTAAACTCGCTGCCTGCACAATCGTCAGCCAAATAATCATTAATTATTACTGAAACTGTACTGAAGTATTTACTACTCTCTCTCTGTGCTCATATCTCTTTCTGTCCTTCATCTCTTTCTGTTTTCCATGTGTTTTTCTAAGGTTTCTTTGGCTCCATTTACACCTGGTACCAGGGCCATTGCTACAAATCACAAGATACAGGAACATTTTTGTGGGTGATCACCCTCCTTCTCTTTTGAGTAGTTTATATCATAGAGGACTTTATTGGGCACCTTAATCATAGTGTCTGGGATGGATTGGATCAAAAATCATATTTGGCAGTGTGTACATGTGATTGGAAAACCTGATGTTAAATGAATAATTTACCAAAAAATTAAAATTATGTCATTATTAACTCTCCATCATGTCTTTTCAAACCAGTAAGTTGTTATTTTTTAGAACATTTTCATTTTTGAGTTAAATTTTCGGTCATGTGAGCAGTGAAGGACAAAAAAAAAATGAAAGAAAAAATCAGTTGTTTCCACCTTCAGAATGACTATATAATAACAACAAAAACAGCATAATAATTGCAGTAATATTGTACTGTAAAATAAAAACAATTAATACTACCACTACTACTACTAATAATAAATATTATAATTATTATATTTTTATAATAATTATTATTATTCTAATCATTATTCAAAAATAATATTTTACTTTTATTTAAATAAAAAAAAATTTTAAATCAGCAAATAAATATGAATTTGGCAATAATATCACTGTACTAGGGATGTCCATTTTAACCGGTTAACCGTTAACCGACTGTATAGAATTTTGACCGATTAATACAATCAGTTAAACGGTTTAAAAAGTCATTTATTTATTTATTTTTCAGTAATTTATCAAAATATTTAAAAAGATTTGCTGCATGGTTAAAATAGCCTACGCTACTCATATAAAAAAAAACAAGTCGCGTATGAGTCGCATTTTATTATTTCATTCAGAAATTGGCGACGCGAAATGTTTACAAACATTATAATAAACACTGTAAACATAGCTAGGCTATTTCAGTTCCCCTCACTCCACAACAAATCCTTTCAATTAACAGTATTTAGAAAAGAACAAGAATTAAAAATATAAGAAGCTATAGCTAAACGACAAGCCAAAACTAATTCATTTAGGCTAAAACTAAACTGAAACCAACGTTGGGTCTCTTCAATCCACACAAAATCAAATGTTTCCATATTCGCTATGTATTTGAATGCCAAATTATTATTTATTATGTACTTCACTCGCGTTCCAATATCTACGTAAAACAACATGTTTTGCATAACATCATGGCGGTACGGCGATAACGCTTAACGACACAGATTTTACTACATATTTAAACTGAGCAGTGTGTTTTTTTCCCCATATGTTTGACTGACTGTATTTTATTATGATTATAGCCTAGCTTTATTATGTTTTTCTCTGCTCGCAGAAGCGCTGCAGGTGCGTGATGTGATATGATGAAGACCATGTGAATCCTCATGTTCTGTTGTTTGCTGCTTTTTGAGCATGTAAAATTAACAAATGTTAGTATTTTTTAATGGGTTACAGACACGTATCCTTTCTAATTTAATTCAATTCTAATTTAAAATAATCTTGTCGGTTAACGGTTAATAATTGGTTAACGAGCGTTGGTTGTCGGTTAGGAAAAATAACCGAAATGAACATCCCTACACTGTACTGTAAAATAAAAGGTATTTATTAATAATAACAACAATACATATTATTATTATTATTATTCATACTCTATTTTTAATTATATTACAGTACAATAGTATTATTGCAATAGTAATATATTTCTTTATAAGAACAACAATAATTTTCGTTTACAGAACAACAGTTAAATTACAATACCAGTATTTGTGGCTGTCTTAATATCTTTGCATTAAACGTTAAACTAAATTAGGGGTCTCCAAACAGAGTCCTGCAGAGTTTAGCTCCAACTTGCTTCAACACACCTGCCTGGAAGTTTCTAGTATGCCTAGTAAGAGCTTGATTAGCTGGTCAGGTGTGTTTGACTGGGGTTGGAGCTAAACTCTACAGGACACCGGCCCTCCAGGAGCGAGTTTGGAGACCCCTGAACTAAACTATAGAGATTTTATACTGATGAGAAACAGCACAGAGACCTTAAACCTTTTAAACAGATTTATAAATGATTTGCACTACAAATTCAGTGAAGAAAAAAGAAAAACTGCCTTGTGTTGCGTATTCAAATTGGTATGTTGTTATCTTTTAGAAACAGGCATGTGATCAGCTATGGGCAAGAAAATAAGGAAAACCTGTTTTTCCCCCATTCAATATGCCTGCTTAATCTGGGTGAATGAAAAGTGACAAGTGTGCGAATACAAAACACAAAAGGCCTCACGCACACCGGGGGAAGTTTGACTTACTGCATATTCCTCTGGCGTGACCTTCAGCACGTCGAACACCACAGCGTCAAAACTCTTGAGCTCTGAGGGGCCCTTCTCACTGAGGGACTCAGAACTGCTGCTCCTCTGGAGGAAACAATGACAGGATAGGGGAAAGACGAAAACACACAAATGAGTGAAAGGAGTTTTTATCATTTGATTACTTTATAAAACATGCAGGGTGAAGCAGGCAAACAGCACGCATTTAATTTGTGTGTTTCCTGACCTCTGAGGCCGGGGTCGTGAAGGTGGAGACGCTGGGCTGGCCATTGGGGACGTCCATTATTACCAAACCATCAGACACTATGGAGCTCACTCACCATCGTCATCCTCTCAGCTCGCCTGTATGGCCCCCTGCACACACACACACACACACACACAAACACAGATGCATTACAGGTAAGTTCAGGCCTGGATTTTGGCTTTGGTGATTCCTAAATGCACAAAACTGGTAAAAGTACAGTGTTTTCTAAATGCCTGCAAGCTGCTCAGATCCACGGGCTCCATAAACCTACCCAAAACTATAGTACTCCCACTTCAGTGCTTGGAAAAGATTGTGTTGAAATATTGTTTTTCATTAGCATCAAACATAACGATTCTCATTTATGCCAGAAAGGTCCAGTTTAGCCTCCTCTCTCATTCATCAACAGCACATTCATCCAGCAGTTGAGAGTGAGACAGACAGTAATGTTCTTCTGGAAAATGCTCTTTTTCTGTGGTCTAGAATCCTGCAGTGATTTTAGTTACACAACCTCTCATGGGACGGTGCAGTTATGATCTTTCCTTTATTTGTATGAAGCTCCTGACTGTGGATTTATAGCGGCTTTAGCGATGTTTTAGCAATGCTTTCCAGTCAAGTGCATCAGCAAATCCTCGTCTTAGAGCCTCTCAGAGTCGTTTTGGCCAGGGATTTTGGATGGAAAAAAAAGATTTATAATGCTCTGAGACGACTCGGGTCAAGATTTACGTTTGTTTTTAAGTCAATTAGCATCAAACTCACAGATAATTTACTTTTTTCAGACAGATGACATTCTAAACTCCATCTAAAAGTATTTTAAACAGATTGTTTTTTTGCTTACTATGCATGCAGCTTTTATAACTACATGGAACATTTGCACTTTTAAAAAGAATATTCCAGGTCCAGTACAAATTAATCATCATAAATGGGGCCAATTTTTGGCATGTTTAAGAACAGAAATGTTAAGAATATTGTTATATATAAAAACATGTTTTTTTCTGTTAATGTTTGTTTTTTGAGCTGTACAATTCTTCTTGTCATTTTGACGATTATTTTAATGGTTTAAAAAAAATATTTAAAAAAATAGTTTAATACAAATTAACAAAACTCAAATTGAAATAAAAATAAATTAAATCTACACAGCAATACTTAAAAAAAAAAATCAATGTGACAAAATGACAAAAGCACATACAATTCTAAAAAAAAAAAGTACAATTAAAATGGAAGCTGAAAATATATCAAAATAAAAGCCAATTTAAAATATTAATAAAAAACATAACAGTAAATAAATAACTAATTCAACAATGTGTGGAAATTATTCATATCAATTTGTGTGAAAATTATATAAATTTGTGGCAACATTTCATTTTCAAACTAGAGCATTATTTGATTATTTGTTTGATCATTTATTTTCATAATTTGTATGGTTATTGTAAGGTTTTAGGCATCACAATTTATTGTTCAAGTGTTGCAGTTACACAATTGAAACAATGAGCATTTTATGTTTATAGATTGGCCCCAATCTCTTCCATTATAAGTGCACTGTAATCCAGATTTTTGCTTTTTTAAATCAAAATAGATTTTTGTACTAATCAACAATATTCCCCAAGTGCAGTTGAGTTGTTTGTCACACCATAGAATGATTTAAAATGAACATAACACATTCCTCACCTCTAAACCACACAGGTGTTGTTAAGTTGTGGGTGTGTTGTCAATCTAAAGTTTTAGTGAAGCGATGTAACCGTAGTACACTACTTCCAAAGAACAACGTGCTCAGCGACGTCAATAAATGCTACGACTGTGGGCTTCACTATCAACACACTGCCGTCAACATTTGGTTACACGTGAAACAAAAGCAGGTGTTCAGACAGTAATGGGACTGACAATGACAGCATGTGTGTGTGTGTGTGTTTTGCTCTGAGAGTGAACAGGTGCTACGGAGCCATTAGTATCTGTGTCTCTGTGTGTGTGTGTGTGTGGTTTAGAGTTTGTAACAGGTGTTGCAGAGAGTTTGACTGACTTCACGGCACTGCCAAACTGCAGACTAATCCTAATCACAGCTCGAATTCAGCCATCATCACACACAAATACAGCAAATAACAGCAGCACAAATGCTTTCATTTGCCAAAAGGCTGCAGCACAAGAGTTCAGACACACACAGATTACAATTACCGGTTATTTGTCAAATGCACATGGTGACGGCTCTGCTGCGTCCTCCGCTGCACTCGCTCGGCTGTATTCACTCGAAATCCTGCGCTGAACAAAACCTGCTGTGAGAAAGATAAAGAGAAGGGGAGAGAGAGAAGAAGAAAGGCACGTTACAAAGCTGAACATACCTTTTATCTCACAACTAGAGGAGTCTATATGGAGTTTTCAGCTACAGTTAGGGGTTGTTGTTGTTTTTTTTAATTAACAGATGTTTTCTAAGTTTATTTTTATTCATATTTTATATTTTTACCATGGTTTTGTTTATTTATGCTACTTTTCAAACTTTTCAGCATATTTTATTGTTTTACCCTTTTCACCCAGTAATCCATTAAATGCAAAGAAAATCCATTAAACACAAAGAATATTAATAATTACATATTTAAAAAAATCATGATCTAAAAAAATTATTAAATAAACCTAAACCAATTAAATATTTATTTTGTACAATGATTTATCAATTTGTGGCATCATTTCCACAACAACCAACATTTTGCAAGAGCTTTTCCCCCAAAAGTTATTATATTTGGCTGCAAAGTGGAGTTATTGTTAGCTAAAACAAAAACTATAAAAAAAAATTAAATGTTAAATGAAATAGATAATAATTTTTAATGAAATAAATATTTTAATTTTAAATTAAATAAATCTGAAATTTAAAAAAGAATAAATATTAGACAAAAAACTTGAACTAAACAAAAATGAGAAATGTTGCCATGGTAACTAATTGAAATAGGTTTCACGCACTAAAATTACTAACCGGATATAAATGATGAACTAAACAAAACTAACTTAATAAACTAACTAAAATAGTTAACTGACCAAACTAACTAATGCTTAGACACATGAGACGTGATGAAAAAGTAAAATCAAGGTAAATATCACTTGTGAATGGGATCATTTTTTAATGTGCGGCATTTCCAATCAAGCTGTAATTTTGTCAAAATATACAAAAAGTGTAAAATTATTATTTAATGGGATAGTTAAAATGAAAATTCGCTCATCATTTACTCACCCTCATGTCATTACAAACCTATATGACTAATATTTTGAAGAACGAGAATAACCAAATAGTTTTGGTTACCATTGACTTACATTGCATACAACATTTCTCAAACTATCTTCTTTTATGTTCCACAGCAGAAAGTACGTTAACACAGTACATAACTGACACGAGGGACATTGTTAGTGGACAAATTAAATTAAACTAGTCGTGAGAGGGTGAAAGGTGTGTTTAAAGGAAAATGTGCTTTCTCAAGAGGACGCAAAGAGGCCATTGTTTGAAGAAACACTCATAAACCTGACAGACAAACCGTGTGTATCAATGAGAAAGCCACTAGGTGGTGTTGTACATCTGGAAACAACAGCAGCTGCGTGTGTTTGTGGAAATGGGCTGCGGCTGAAGTTTCAGAGAGTTCAGTCTTGGGTCATTAGAGAGGATTGTTTCGGACACTACAGACACCAGACACATGGCATTGTGGGACGAGTCAGATGCAAAGCAGGATGTCATGCTTTCTTTCCCTGACGTACATGAAAATAGGCTTTAAAAACATCACATGGCTGAAGCCAGCAAAACATTCACTGCATATTAAGGAGAACAAGCTTCCTTAGTCTATAGAACGAAAGCTGAACTGAAACCATTCGCTCTGGCATGTCACAAACATGCAAAAATGTGACACGCTTAAATGGTTTAGAGTGATAACCCACCGATCTCAAAGTAGCAGCCCAATCGCCATGCCACCTGACTAGTAAATGTGATAATCCAAAAAGCTTCCACAAAAAAATGAAGAAAAAAAAAAAAATGATGACTCACAATTTCCACAGAAAATAAATATTTAATTCTCAACATATGCAGCTATAGCTTTTGTTTCTATGATGTTACCATAGCAATAAGAGGATGACTCCACAGAAAGAAAAATGCTAAGGAGCTCAAACTGCTTCATAAACAGGCCCACACGAAACCTTCGCCCACAGAGCTCTGCAGATTTCAAAACGCAAAAAATGTGAAATTCTACATATCCTCTACCACTTAAGTTTATACTTAAGTTTTACGTTTATTAATATACATTTCTGTCCAAAAGTTTACTTTTTATGTGGAAGAAATGCATACTTTTATTCAGAAATAATTCATTGTTACAATGATCTTATTAGGCTTGCTGCGATAGATGGTGTTTTCGGTTATACCGGTGTTAAGCCGCAACACCGGTTACGTCATTTGCCTACCGCAGCACCACCCCCCACTGTCGTTTAGATTTTTTTATAGTAACAAAAATATTTTAGCCTAGTTCAGTTAGAGGACAGACACTTTTTAAAACTAAACGCTCAATGCAGCGTGCCGAACCGTGCGCAAACGACAGTGCACCACGGAGCAGGAGTCAGATTTTATTTATCACGTGAGGAGAGTTGAGTCGAGCTGACTGACAAGAGTGAGGTCAGAAAGACAAGACGATGGCAGAAGATTGTTTAGAAAGGAAATGCAAAGGCGCCTGTTTGGCAATATTTTAGATTTTGAAAAGCCTATTGACTGGGACTGTTTTTTTTTTAAACATTCGTTTCTTATTTATTTGGTTCCACAGTGTTTGCTGATTTTCAGTTTTATATACCTATTTAAACTTTGTGTAGCCTACGTAATTTGTTATTTTATTAGGCATATATGGTGTATTTTTATTCGTTTTGTTAATAAAAGTTCTGAGTTTGACGTTGTTGTTGCTTGAATTGAACCAACGCCGAATTGCCGCTAATTTGAAAGTGAAAGTAAAACGCGCATGGCGCTTTTTCAAGCTATTTGAAAGCCAAGAAATCCGAGGAAAAGAGGGAAAACTCAAACAAACTATTGCTTGACGCCGAATTGCGGCAATTCAATTGTCGCTCATTTGAAAGTGAAAGTAAAATGTGCACTGCACTTTTACAAGCCATTTGAAAACGAAGAGGGAAACTCAAACGAACTAACACCCCCACCCCAACGGTGATTTTTGTATTACCGGTGTTGTCACACGTCGATTAACCGGTGGGAACATTTCCTCACTGTCACAACCCTAGATCTTATCTGAACTTTCTATTCATCAGAAAGATTCAGCAAAGGAAAAAAAACTTCTACAATTATTTAAGCAGCACAAGTGTTTCAACATTGATAATAGGGTTGGGCCGATAGACGATGCCATCGTCCATCGCCGATGGCTGACAGCCATCACGATGTGAAGGCTTGAAAGTCGTTGAAAAGTGCTTGAATTTCTCTCTCAAAAGGTTGTATAAACCCTGAAATGAAAAATAATTTCATCAGCCATCACGATGTTAAGATGACATTGTTGATTCCTTCCCCCCACCCCCTCTCCCGCAATCCGCCGCATCCCAGTTCCGTGTTCGAAAAGGAAATGAAGTGTACTACGGAAACCCTAAAGGGAATAAATAGCCTATGAGATCGGAGGATAAAAAAAAAAATGTCAATACTTTTTCTCGCAATGATATCGTTGGGTAAGTATAGGCGACTGTATATAAATTGCGGGCATCAGGGAGCCGCTATTGAAACCGCTTTTGATTGCGCGCTCTCATTTTACTTTCACTTTCACTTTTGAGATTAGCGATCACAAGGACTCTATACTATGGAGCGGCAGTACCTACCACACATTTTACAAGATTAGATATTTGTCAGTGG